ACAGTTACTGCATTGGTCTCAAATGGTTCGGTGTCTGAATCTGAGTCTGACATTGCTTGTGCTATGTTGGCTTCCTTAAATTTTCTTCTAAATAAACAGTCTTTTTTAAAATGATTATAGCAACCACAATTGAAACATTTAATGGCATCTTTATACAATCTCAACTTCTGTGTTCTTCTATTAAACAGTTTGTCTACATAGTCTTTATACCCCGGATTTCTATCACACATTTTGTCGTTCGGATGAGATTTTTGACAATATTTGCAGTACATCATTTGCCACTTTTTGTTGAACGTGGTTTTGTTTTTGTGTGGGTTTGCCCCTTGGTTGTATCTGCCTTTGTCATAACTGGCACTAGCTCCAGTTTCAATGTCTGGTACCGGGTTGGAAATGAAAATTTCACGATGGGCTGAAAAATAATTTTCACCTAAGTTTTCTAACTCCTTCAATGAGGTTGGTTTATTTTCTCTTAAAAAGGTTGACATAGGTTTAGGTAAAGATTCCAACATTTTGTTCCTTAATAATAAATCTACTAATAATTTATAATTATCTCTAACATTGGCCGAATCAATCCATTTATCAAAAATATTCTGAACTTCCGAAAAATAGTCAGTGAACGTCTGATCAGACTTTGGCTTTAAATCCAGAAACTTTTTCCTATACCCTGCTTCATGTAGGTCATAGTGTCGCATGATGCGATCTTTAATATAGTCAAAGTCTAATCTTAGATGTTCAGGGACTGTTTCTAAGATCTTCAATGGTTCAAATGCTAAATGTTTTTGAAAAATAATGGCCCACTGGTCTTTTAGAACATCATGAAAGCGCATTTGCAAAAGAAAGCTAGATATATAACTACCAATGTCATCCTTTTCAGAGAAATTTCTGACTATACCTGCATACTTTTTGAATTTATTTTCTTCTTCTTTTAATCTTTCTTTTTGGATAGCAGCTTCTTTTCTGGAATCATTTTCCATTTCTTTAGTTCTGATTTGTGCCTCTGCCTTTTTCTTTTTCAATCTGAATTGACGCAGCTATCTTCTCACGTTCCAAATTCAGTTCTTGTTCTTTTAATATTCCTACTTGTTCCATTTGTCTATTTCTTTTTCATTTCTTGTTTTTTCATTTCTTTTTCTTGTTCCAGTTGTCTCCATCTTTTTCATCTCATATCTAGTTCGTGTGCTCGTGACAATCTCCGTTCTTCTCTCAAATCGTCTTGTATTTTCTTTTCTTTCTCATCATCTCTTTTTTCTGTTGATCACAAAATTTCTAAGTTCTTCCCCTTCTAAATTCAATTCTTTGCCCAGTTTGATCAGCTCTGCCAAGTTAGACATTTTTATGTCTTTACAATGTAAACAACAGTGAAGTTACAATTCCTTTCTTTCAAAATACACACCTTAAAAAGAACAATATAAGTTCAATATAATGAACTAGTAACTTGAATTAATAACTAAATGTCCCTGGGTATCAATACTATACCTTAAAATAAAGTGGATGTAACTCTTCCAACCACCAAGCCTATAACTAAATAATTCTATATATATACAGTTGATGTTTGAGAAGAAGAGTTAACTAATATTTGTTTAGCTTATGGGAGAGTAAATCAGTTAAGCACACTTGAGAAATTAGATATGACAGCAAGAAAAATGATATATTATTTGATAAAGATTATTAATCAACTAATAGAATGTTGTAGCACTAGAGTAGATGCAGTGGATTATCAAAGTGTTAGATGTAGTGGACTATCAAAGTATTTACCAAAATAAATAACTAATTAATATGTAAATGTGTAACAATGATTAATGTTTATAATCCTGTGTATACAGTAGTTGGTTATAAGTTTCAACTGATTATACCTTGTGAAAAAACCAAAAAAAAATTGTCTTTAATGGCTGCACAGTCTGGGTATAATTAAATACTCATCTAATAAAATAAAAAAATATTTGATTGAATTAGTCTTTATAATAGACTGTGATAGAGTAATCACTAATACTCTCAAATAATTAAATTATTTCACGTAATTACTAAATACACTTGTTCAGTATGATGCTTATTAAATTCGCTTTCAATGAAGCAAAACTCAGTCACAATATATATGCAGAAACTTGTAACAAAATAATTCCTATCCACCAATACCTTTAGTCTATATTAGAAATCAACAATACTATTCAATACAGATTAAATAAAGATATAGTGTTGAATCAATGAGTGTCTCACCAAATAATATTACAATGATCTTTCCCCAATTCACTGTTAAATCCCCAATACAATATAATTTCTATTATCCACACTGTACTTTTGTTATAGTGGTTACGTTCGATGATGGTCAAATGTGAATGAGTAGATCAAATGTTAAACTCAAATTGAAATAAATTAACACTTGATAATGATTATGTGTGTATGATATTATATTACTAAAATATTAATTGATATTTTCACACTAGATGATATTAATTTAATATTTTGGTAGTTTCCTAATTATGTATGATTAATTATGGCACTTCCTGATGATGGTGTTAATGAACTTTCGTGTAATATAACACCTACAATTTTTAAAAATGAAAAAAAAAAAAAAATATATAGAGTTTCAATACAATTTGCCAATATTTATAAATAACAAGAATAATGTAAAGAATAGTAGAATAATGCAAAATAATATCAAAAACACCAATGTAATAATATAAATAAATAAAATAAATGTCAATGAATGCACCAATGTAAATTATAAATAAATAATATTGATAATTATAATAAATTACTGAATCACCAGAAAAATAAATCAAAAATAAAATTAATAATCAATGCTGTATATTGTTGTGCTGATCTAGTTGACTGTCCTGAAGTTGACCTGAAGCTGGTTCTGCGATGGCTGTTGCTTTCTTGAAGGTTGTTTCGTTGAAGCTTGTCCGTTGAATATGTTACTGCTACTTTTAAAATACTAAAGAAATGATAATTTGATCGGGTTAATTAAAATTAAATACCATAGTAATGATTTCATCAACTGGGCACTGAAATTAATTATGACCGCACAGTTTATCTGTTCACACTATTAATTTTAGCATTGAATGCACACTGATTAAGCAATTGTTCAGTGAAGCATTTATTACAGAAACTGCATACTGTTTGTGGTACTGTTCACTGTACTATCGGTTTCATAAACTGGATATTGATCACTGAATAGTTCATTGGTAGCTACACACTTCAAATGTACCTTGTTAATTGCAGATACTTAAATAGTTCACTGGTAGATACACACTTCAATAGTACATTGTTAACTGCAGATACTTAAATAATTCACTGCTAGATACACTCTTAAATAGTACATTGTTAACTGCAGATACTTAAATAGTTCACTGGTAGATACACACTTCATCAATACTTAGATTTGCACCGACCAATTTGATGCTTTTCCTGTCGACTGAATGTGTTTAGGACGTAGGAAAGCTTTATTGTTATCGCTTTCTTGTGATATGTGCGATTATACGATGAACTTGAAGCATTATTGATCACGAGACATCAATGAGTGCTGATCTTGAGGTATTGTAGGCTTCTCATACTGTAGTTTCCTATTAAATGGTTTGCCACGGCTGAAAATGTAGTGCTGCGACACAAACACCCAGTGTCAGAGCTGTGGTTCTTTTGATTTCCGTACAGTTAACACTCTACCCGGTGTTTCACTGTCTTTCTATGTTTTGAAAAAACAGATCCGAAAAACAGGATCTGGTGTCGACGCTTCTCTGTGTTGTTCAGTGTAGATTTCCCACTACACTTTACCACACTTTAGTCGGCAGCAAAATTTGATCAAACAACAAGGCTTCGGACGTTTTGCAGAGGGGCAGCCCTAGTCTCACATCATCTCTGTGTAGACTTACTGTTGTATTCCTTTGCTAACATTAATGATTGCTCTTTGACACTGTCACTGTCTGCAATCTTTCCTTTGCATCTTTGTTGATTGTTGATTACTTGGTCGAAACTTAAAACGTGGACTTGTCTAATCAGTATTCAGAGCCTGGAATTTGTTCGAACGTTGTTCAATCTGTGAACTATCGAATATGGGTTGTTGTTATGTCGCCATCGATCTTCCCCGCTTACGTTCGTATGTTGAACTGGTACTACCCGACGTCAGGTTGATAACTTAAACTAAACTCATTTCCAATGTCTCAGATTTTACTGTACGAAACAACTTTCCTATCCTCAAATGTTTGGACGAGTTCCCCATTCTGCAGTGATCTTCATTGTTATTAATTGCTGGCTCGAATGAGTCACCGCATCTTTCCATTCACCAACTGACAAGAACGAGAAAACATGGACGCTGGCAGACGTTCAGAAGTTACACGTACTGTTTATTTTCACTCGCTGATGTTGCAGTCAGTAAATGTTTATACACGACAATATCACTCATCGATTATTAATTTAATGCTCTAAACAGTCAATCATACCTTTGTAACATCGTAGAATTCACACAACTTAGCGAAACACAGTAGCTCTCTCCATCCAGACGACAGTCATTCACAGCTGGCCACCGTTTCCGTCAGCCGCTATTTTATGCCAGGTAGGCATTGGGAAATCACGCTATTCAGACGTCAACATTCTTCCGAACACATACACCTTCCCTTGGCCTAAACGAGACTGCCTCACAAACCTTTCTTCGCTATTATATAGCCTTCTGATCTGTCATATTCTCGAATATTCTGGATAATTTCATTCTCACGAATTCCCCACCGTTGAAAGTCGTGTCTGGCCCGTGATAATTCGCATTTCACACGAATCCTGCCAGTCAACCTTCATGGTTCACGTGAACAATCATGTTTCACATAAAACCTGACTTTCAGATGTCTCTCATGAAACTCAAGACATAAATCTCGTGTTATCTCAGTCAGTCAAAACATTCGTCTTACATTTATTACTGACGTCATCTATTGGGCATAACTTAATGGGGAGAAAATGACTCACTACAGTGCAGATATTGCAGTTTAGCTTTAAACTACACAAAATGTGCCAAGCACCCTCTTAAGAGCAAATTGCAAACACAATCAGCTGCTAATAATTGTCAGCTGTTAGATCTAAGGCTTTGAACTTTACATGGATAATTGTCAATTGTTAGATCTTAGGCTTTGAATTTTACACGGATAATTGTAAATTGCTAGATCTTAGGCTTTGAATTTTGTACGGATAATTGTTAGTTGTTAGATCTTAGCTTTGAATTTGGTATACATAATTGTCAGTGGTTAGCTTTTAGACTTTGAATTTTATATAGAAAATTGTCAGTTGTTAAATCTTAAGGTTTTAAATTTTGTATATATAATTGTCATTTGTTAGCTATTAATCCTGTTGAACAAATTCCCGATAAAGCTGGGATGTGTCAGCCAAAAGGCGCATATATCACAGCTATGCTGTCAACAAGCATAATGTGAATTACATCACTTGGATGGACATTGAAGAAAAATAAAAAGAAGATCTAAATCCCTTTTGCCTACTGATACTGCAGTCGTGGGTTTGAATGTACATCAAAGTAGAGACAAAAATTTACTTTGGCTGCAAGGTTGAGTCAACGAAAAAAAAATGTAGTTGGAAGTAAAGAAGACCGACCTGATGTTGCTGACATCTTTCATTGAGTGTCAGTAGGTAAAGACAAAAAAATATGGGCCTGGTACTGGCGTATGGCAGTTTTGTCACGTACCTTTACTTCAGGATTATTTTCCTAAAAACCTCAGGTACTCTGAGATAGGGGTATTCTGAATGTTGGTTCTCATTTGTCTAGAAGCTAAGTCCTCGGTTCAAACATACATTCAGCCCATTTCAGGGATGAGGCGACTCGAGTTCTGACTCCACAGAATTATTATGAATTCTTGGAATTCTTCAACTCGGCCTGACTTCCACATCACTTTGTTTGCCCCCTGACTGGAAAACAACGTTAACACAGTCAAATTTATAAATAAACAACAGTGGATCCGACCAGACATGGTTATTTTTACTGTGACAAGTTCAACCAGTTCTTCTAAGAACAGGAAACTTTTTGAACAAGGAATATAATGTAATAAGTGAACTGTGACAAGGTGACGAAATATAGAATAAACTTAAACAGAACGAAAGTTCAATATCCCTTTGAAAGATCAAGATTAGAGCATGGGTCTCTGTCGCGTGCGAATGTGCACCAGAACGCACCGGTACGGAGTGAGCAAATAAGACGTCAAAACAATACGTAACGTTGTTATGATAATATTGTTGTCAAAGCAGTTGATGTTTATAGTCCGAAGGAGACGGACGTGGGAATCCTTGAGGACGCTTTACCCCGGGATCCCACGGAAGCAAACGTTATATAAAGTTGGATCCTTGAGGACGTTTTACCCCGGGATTCCAAGATAGACCTCAGCAGGAAGCTGGTTAATACTACATTCTCGGCAGTAAGCCGGTATACTTTCATTGCTTAATTCGGACTTGTCCGAGGAGAAATAAGTAAATCGTCTGGATCTCAAGGTCGGACTGCGACCTATCGTGAGGACATATCATTACATGGATGTACGAGCGAGCTTTGGTTGAACGAGTTGATTATTACTTGCATATGTATCCTTTGTGTTAATCATTGCTGATTGTATATATCAATACAACCGTTGGAACTTAACGCATAGCGTTCGAGCTCTACATTTTGAAAGCATTGAAGTAACTACTGTTTTACCCCTACTTGGCCTATTTCATCTTGGTACCACACACATCAGCATGAAGCTCTGCACGTCCCATTGATACGTGCGGTCCTTCATTGTGTATACCGGCTTACTGCCGAGAATGTAGTATTAACCAGCTTCCTGCTGAGGTCTGTCTTGGAATCCCGGGGTAAAACGTCCTCAAGGATCCAACTTTATATAACGTTTGCTTCCGTGGGATCCCGGGGTAAAGCGTCCTCAAGGATTCCCACGTCCGTCTCCTTCGGACTATAAACATCAACTGCTTTGACAACAATATGTGGAGACAGCACCTGATTGATTGAAGGATTTTGTTACTAGATATCACTCATTGGATATAAGTCCAGATCAGTTGTTCCAAATTAGATAAGACTCGCAGGCCATCTTATTTTCTTGTGGAGACAGCACCTGATTGATTGAAGGATTTTGTTACTAGATATCACTCGTTGGATATAATCTAGATCAGTGGTTCCAAATTAGATAAGACTCTCAGGCCATCTTATTTTCTTGTGGAGACAGCACCTGATTAATTGAAGGATTTTGTTACTAGATATCACTCGTTGGATATAATCTAGATCAGTGGTTCCAAATTAGATAAGACTCTCAGGCCATCTTATTTTCTTGTGGAGACAGCACCTGATTGATTGAAGGATTTTGTTACTAGATATCACTCGTTGGATATAATCTAGATCAGTGGTTCCAAATTAGATAAGACTCTCAGGCCATCGTATTTTCTTGTGGAGACAGCACCTGATTGATTGAAGGATTTTGTTACTAGATATCACTCGTTAGATATAATCTAGATCAGTGGTTCCAAATTAGATAAGACTCTCAGGCCATCTTATTTTCAAAAGTCTGCCAGTGAATTAGAATATATTAGAATTTAATATTAATGACGGGTTATTATTTGAGGTGGAACAGTCTTAGAAATTTATGATGAGTGGTTTTTTTCACATAAGGGCGAATGAGGAAATGTATCTGCATATTTAAATCTTGTGGTATTTGCCCAGTGTGTTCAGTCAGTTGTGTATACTGTTGTTTACTCATAAGGTAAATTGTATTAATGTTCACAATTCTTTATCAGTATTTCAGTTGTTTTTGTTGTTGTGTGATTGTTTTTGTGTGCATGTGGGGAAAAAAAGTAGTTCCTTCATTTTTTATTTTGTTTGAACATTCATAATTATATTTCAGGCAATTCATCCACCTCCTGACCCTTACGGACGGCCACCCCCAACATCTTATCCAGAAGTGGTGTACGCAAGGCCACCTGAAAGGTAATTTTTTTTTTTGGGTCAGCCTTTTTCATAGTAACTGATCATGCTGACTATAACCTTATCCCTGAGGGACACAACAACTCAGGGAATTTTATACTTACTCCTCCTCCTACTCCTTTCATTCAGATGGTCTAGAGAAAACATCTGTGATCAGACTTCCCAAAAGCATGTCGTAAGAGTCGACTAACTGGGAGCTTCCTTCAAAGTCATAGTACATCTGCCTGAGAGGCAGGGAACCAACAATCTGCATACAGTTAAGTCAGGTCTGTTAAACGGATGTGCATGCAGTACTCAAGTTCTAGAACAATATCAAAGTCCAGGGGTGGACAAACAACCAGAACTTTTCTGCCGGAGTTCACAGCTGGGGAATGAGAAGAAGAAGAAGGTTCTGAAAAAGGGAGGAGGGGTGGGTAGATCCACTGCCCTTAATAAGCATGTTGTAGAAGACTTGGGGATTTGCTGAAATTGGATGTTCTGGCCTGGAAGGCTCAGATACAGCAGGCACAACACAAGATGTTGTCAGCTGTCTTGTTTTTTCCTGGTTTGCATTCATCAGCAGTAGACTCCGGTGGAAAGTTCTGGTTGTTTTTCCACTTCTGGAATTTGTTCTTTTTCGAGTACTTGAGTTTTGCGGGTATATCCATGTCACAGCTCTGGCTTTTTTTGTAGGCAGACTGTTAGTTCCTCGCCTCTCAGGCTGAGGTACCCTGACTTCAAAGTTTCTGCCTGACAGGGGAATAACCAACAGTCTGCATGCGAATAAAAGATCTCAATCAAAGCAAGAATTAGAACAAATCATTTTCACATTATCGCAGAAGCCCTGATGAAGCAGTGATGTGCAATATCAGACTGTAAATGTCTTTTAGCCTCTGTTAATAAAGCCTACCTCACCTTCATGTGGTGGACCCTGTTCTCCCCAGTAACCAAATGGAAGTTTGGGGTTTCATCCTTCTAGCAGGAAACTGAATGGGACATCAAACGAGGTGTAGGCGAAATCTGGATCTTTCAGCCAACTCCTGAGTGGAGTGCTTGAACTGTGAGCTGTGAATTTTATGAAGGAATGCCTAATGTCTGTGCTTCCCGAGATGTATGTTGAGAAAAGGGGGAGGGGTTGATTGCCACACAGTTGGCAGTGAGTAAGCCTTATGCAGTAATGCACATGCCGCTTCTGATTTATCATGACTGCTGCTTTCATCAAATATAAATATAAATTCTAGAGACAGACTGTAGGCATTCGCAACTCTGGGGCTGCTTTACACATTTAATTTGTGTGCAAGCTGTTGGATTCACTTGGACTGCTCCCTGTTTGACATAATGTAGCCGCTGGAATGTTGTAGAGAAATAGATCATTATGATCTGAGGAGAATGGCCCTGCAAGGAATTACCAGGGAATCTGGCCGACGCTTAACAGTCAAGGTTAGAGTGAGACGGATGTACAAATCAGACAGTTACAGGTACCATCAGTAATTGAAACTCTTTGCTGGCTTCTGAAGATGGGGACGGGTTGCTTATGGGAGTGTCCTGAATGCTGTGATGTCGATTTTAAATTTAAAATTTCAATATTCATTTGGGAATTTTGTGTAGTTTTTCACTGGCACAGGAACAGAGCAGTTATAGAGTGGTCCATTTGCAAAAATTTGGAACCTCGACTGATAGCCTGTCAGCATCATAATGGTGAACAGCAAATAAATATTGTGGCTAGAAAGCCTTCATCAGCACAAAACATAAACAGGCAGTATTACAATTATAAAAAAGAACACACAAATCACTTATTTGTGTGTAAGTTGAGGTCTGTCCAAAATATCCATAACACATCTGAACAGTAGAAATTCTGAATTATGAGTGACGCAGGAAAAGGAAGAGTTGCGAAGGGTCGTAACTATAAATATGTTAGATCACACAGTAGTGGATGTTAATTTTCTTACCTTTATCTTTATATTTCTTTTAGGATTCAGAATTATTTAACATAAAATGAAATTGTTAAATAATACTCTGTCCCTAATTTCAGATATGAACCGCCAGCTCCCCAAGTAAGTGACCAGGAATTTGAAGAGATCTTTCAGCGCAACAAAACGGTGTCAAGCAGTGCCATAAATCGGGCTGTGCAGGATGCAAGTTCAGGTACAGATGATTTCTTATTGCCCCGCGTGGGTGCTGAGGCCCCATTTCAAGAGTTTAAGAAAGAGACCTAATGCTCCCTTAACAAGCGTGTTGTCAAAGGTAACTAATTAGGTGTCTGCTTAAATTGGATGTGTTGGGCCCAATGGGCACAACAGCGCAGACATCAAAGCCTGGCTTTAAACCACCACACAGCATGGATTTGAGGATTTGAAATAGAAGTAAAGATAAATCCCATTTAGATATTTCTTTAAGCATGTGAAGCGGTGAGTGTTTGCCATTGTGAGTTTAAGGCTTAACCCTGTCACACCTCGAATGTTTAAAAAAAAAAAAAGTGTGCCATGAACTCTCGGGTTACTAATAAATTATTTAAAAAAAAAATATCTACATTTTAATATTTTTCCCCGAAATAAATAAAGATCCAAAGACGCAATCAATAAACAGAGTGAAGAATTGAATGGAACATATTCCTGGGGCTTAAAATATATATTTATTCGAGCACTTATGGCCTGAATGGTTCATTGTGCAATGAGGATAATCTGTCTAACCAACTAATTAACGTATAAAACATTGGGGGAAAGGTTTTGGCCTTGAAAAAAACCACCCTCCCTTTCCCCTTTGCTTTATAGGTTAGTTAGTTAGTTTACCGACAGATTATTCTCATTGCACACTGAACCATTCAGGCCATAAGTGCTTGGATCCCCTCCTTAGTCAATCTCTCAGCATATAATGGCTGATGACACAAGTTCTTAGTGGGTTTCTTATTTTTCTTTGGCTTCCTGCATAGTGCTATTGTCTAGCCACACCCCTTTTAAGGTGTTGTCCTTGCCGTCTGTTCATGGTTGCAGATTCACAGTCATCACTTGGCTCTCACAAACGTCCTACTTCTTGTAGAGCATTCAGAAAATTGTCTGGTCCATGGCTCATCCACCCTCCACGGTAGCTTTACCTGCAAGCCTATCAGCTCGCTCATTTCCTTACACACCTGCATACCCTGGCACAAATATGACACTGATATGTGTCGGCCCCGACCGCTTTAGAGACTCCAACCACTGTCTTTCGACCCGGCCCATCTATGTCTTCCTGAGCATACTCATGAGTCACTGAGAAAGCACGCGAGGGAAAAGATCTGTGTCTCAAGCCATTGTATTACTTTGGTCACTGCCATGACCTCCATGAAAAGACTACTTGTCGTGGCAACCGCATCAGAATATGCTTTATAGGTACTGTATTTAGATCCTGGCCTATTTAAAACTGTATAGGTGCGTGTAGAACCATTGAAATTGAACTGCTTTTTGAGAACAGGTCACTGCAGACAACTGATATGTTCAACATTTACGGCGCTGTGTTACAACTGGAAGTGGCAAGATGTAGTTTTCTCGAGGTTTAAAAAGATCAGATGACCAGTTTCTTTTCTAGATAATTTTCCAGGATTCGGGATTTTATCTAGTGCCAAATTTATTGTTTTAAATTAATAATAACCTTTTAGGGATCATCAATAGACACAAACAGTACTGGAGGGTACAGTTCGTGAAAGAAGAGGTCTGAACAACGGATCAACATCATGGCACACGGGTAGTAACCCTTAAGTGCTGCTTTCCTCTTATAATTCAAGTCTGAGTCTAAAGAAGCTCAGCACAGTGCACAGGCTCTGTAGCACTGGCGAGGATCCTGCAATACTTTGGGGAGATTCTTAACTCCAAATTTTGCCCGGGCAGCGCCGTTAGGCTACTCTTTTTGATTTTCAACTGCCAAGGGATTGTTTTTACGTGCGCAACAATGCACAAGGGCGTCCGATCTCACTACCCTGAGACCAGGGGGAATTGCTAGAAGTCCAAGTCCACGTGAAAAAATCCCAGCCCTTACCAGGGATTAAACCCGGAACCTAAAATACACTTGACGGAGACCATGCCTGAATACCACGCAGCCCCCCACCTCGTGAAAGAAGAAGAAGTTTAGTATTGGATACAGGATGTCAGTAATTCATGAATAGGAAACCTGGCAAATGGATTTATCAATAATATGGCTTGCACATGAACATTTAAAAGGTGGGAAAGATGGTAAATAGACCTATCATTAATGGCTTGCACATGAACATTTAAAAGGTGGGAAAGATGGTAAATAGACCTATCAATAATAGCTTGCACATTGAAATTCACAAGGTTGGAAAGCTGAGAATGGAGCAAGTGACTTGCACGCGTGTCATAAAAGCTTTTTTCCTTTAAAAAAAAGAAGACAAAGAAACCTACTACATATTGCAGAATTTGATTATGTCAGTCTCCTTCAAGCAGTGCAGTATTGCACCAGACAGTCCATGTTATATTTGCATGCTTTCTCTGCAGGATGCAAGCCACACAACTTTGTTTAATGGTTAGTTGAGGTTTCAGTATTACTGAGGACAAGTTGCTCCACAACTGCTCCGTTCCTGTGCCAGTGGAAATTGCCAAAAACATCTACAACCGTCCCATTTAAAAACTAGTGAAAAACTTGTCAGTCTCAGCAGATCTTGATGTTTCCACGCGCAAAGTAAAAATCCATAAGGCAGCTGTCAGATGTGCCAACAGTAATGACCCCACACCGGAATTGCGGCTAACTGTTGGTGCAAGTGGCCAGCCACAAAAGTACCCGCCAGTCTGAATGTAACAGCTATGTTTATCATTTTACATTCTACAGGCGATTTCCCCAGCGCAATAGAGACTTTGGTTACAGCCATCTCTCTCATCAAACAATCCAAAATTGCATCAGACGATCGATGCAAAATTCTCATTAGTTCTCTGCAAGACACCCTTCACGGAATTGAAGAGAAATCCTATGGCTCCAGGTAATGAAATTTTTTTCCCTGTTGATTTTTGTGTTTTGTCTTTGAGTAAATGTTGCTGCCTGCTCAGGTTTCGCAAAATCACCTTCATTTTGGTCCCAGGGTATGTTATTGTGAAATGCAGTGAAAGAGCAGACTCCCTGGCTGGCAGTGTGAGTATCAGAAATGGGCCCTTTATGGACAGGAGAGACCTCATCAATGCCATACGAGAGAATATAAATGCTGTGAGACTTTCAGTTGCGTGGAAAATGATTTTTCACTGAATACTGCATACCCAGGGTGTACCATTTGGAGCGGTGAGACAGAAAAGCCATGTGGAAGCCACCCGTCATTACATCAGCCAGAACAGAAGGGAAGTTGTTAGCCTTAAAACACTTGGAGACATACTGAGGAGGATATCAGAGCTATTAATAATTATGGTCATGTGCGATGTGAAATGTAAATGCTCTCTTCAATGAAAATGAACAATTGTTGCTGCTTGTTTGCCACTTTTAGGGGCGGTGTAGAGTTGGGATGGCTTGAGTAACTGTTCATTTAAAAAGTGAGGGGGTGGGGGGCGGACCTTGTTTTTGTTGTTGCTAGTGATGCAGTGAGCCCTCCATAGGTTAGGTTATGTGGTCGGCATCATGTTGGCTGCCTCGTCTTTCTAGGGTTTTACCTAGTACCCGTTATAGTCTGGATAGACCTGGGAGCCAAGGTTGTTTTTTTTTAATCCGCCATGGCGCTGATTTGAATCTAAGACCTTTTGACTGACAGGCGAGTGTCTGTCCGATATGCTACCGTAGCAGCTTCACTGTATTAACCCTCTTGCTCTGGGAACATAAAATCATGGGTCATGACCCCCATTTAAATTCTTGACAAAAATCCTTTAAAAATTCTTTTTTACACAGGTGATTAATAAATTGGTTAAAAGTGTATATTTATCTACATGTGTTTTCAAAATATAGAAAGCCGTTTACAGGTAGTAATAAATAAACATGAATAGGGTGAAGCATTAAATGGAACATACATGTTGGATGACTCACGCCATGACCTAGTAACCTCTACCACTGAGGCTTACAGGAATTTTTAAAATTCCGACATGGTTTAGAAAAAACAATTTGATGCGAAGAAAACCTCCCTAAATGCTAATGTTAGTTTATGTATTAATGTCCTGACTTTCTAATAATTTGTGTAGGTGTGAAACCGGCCGATAGAATTACCTGTGCATCTCATAAACAGGTCATCATAGGCTAGTCAGAAAAGTGACATTTATGGGGAATTGGACCAACATCTTAATAAATGTGGCAGTGTGTATAGGAGTAGACTAAACTAAAAATATCTCAGGAAACAGTCTTATTTTTGTCAGGAGCCCACATAACTTTTCTAACAGAATGTAAATTTTGGCACATTTTATTGCATCGTGACATTTTAAGTTCATCAAAATGATTATCTTTAGCATTACATTGTTCATTAGGCTATATAGCAGAAAAATAACTGTGTTAGTTAAATTACATGGCATTCTTAGATGTTTACAGTAATGACATGTATATTTTTCTAAACTTTTTTTTTCTCCAGAAGTAGCAGACGCTCAAGATCACGAGATCGAGATCGAGACAGGGTGGATAAAAGGTCTCGCCATCACTCCCGGAGCAGAGAAAGAGATGTCCGTGACTACCGTGAACGTTCACGAGACAGAGACAGGGAGAGAGACCGCCATTATGATGACAGAAGAGATAGAGACCGTGAAAGGGAGCGCAGTGAAAGAAGTGACAGAGGAGGAGATCGAGACAGGGAGAGGGAGCGAAGTGACAGGGAGCGTAGCGAAAGAGAGCGAAGTGACAGAGAGAGGGCAGAACGGGAACGCAGTGACAGGGAGAGAGCTGACCGCGAGCGGGCGGAGCGGGACAGAATTGAAAGGGAGCGCAGCGAACCGGGAACGAGGCGAAAGGGAACGTGGTGAGAGAGAACGCAGTGACAGGGAGCGGGAATACACCAGTAGTCGCAGACACTAGCTATACACTGTGGATCTCCGGTTTCCTAACAAGGTATGCATTTCGTATGTGAAGTATTTTTACCTCAGCTTTTTCTTAAAATAATCCCCTCGCTTTATGTTTGTTGTGGTTGTGCATTTTCTTTGTCATAATGATGAACAGGTAGTCATTGAAGTTTAAAGAGGTGTTCCCACTGACTTTCAACACTTCTGACCAAACTACAGACTTGTAGCTCAAAATGTGCACACACTGTTTCTGGGAACAAGCCTTTGTGAGCACTCTTATACTAAGTGCAGGTATGTATAATATTGTTCTGTTTATGTATCTGTGTATTTTAAGAAAACAAACTTTACTCATAACTTGTTGAATCAAACAGTTTAACCCAGATCTTCATGCAGAATTTTTGTCATTTATTTTCCAGAGATTGAGGTGAGAAGTGCCTGCCACATGTCTACAGTCTGTTCTATGTTGCTCTGCATACAGTTTTTATTTCCTCAAAAACGTTTGCTACATGGTTTCAGGAGGCTCTCAGATTATCTACTGCGTTTGGCCTAGATTTTCACTGCATGTTGCAGTTATTTTTAGTTCGGCCTGGTTCATTCATATGTACATTTCCGTTTTATCTAAGTGAAGATTCATTGTAAAATATAATTAATTTACAGAAATTAAGAAATCCAGTCTTATAATAAATTCATTATAAGCACTACAAATCGTTAACTAGACAGTGGCTCCGAAAGCACAAAAAAGCATTTTGTGGGAATCAGTTGAAAGTACATGAGAAAGAAGGTTGTGGATAGACTACTTACACCACACAGCATGGACTAAGAGAAGAAGAATTGATTCTGCACAAAATAATTGAGTTGCAGATTTGTAAAATATCGAAAGGCGGTATTGGCTGGGCGTATGTTTATTGCCTTTTGTACCATTGGACCCCCATACGGTTGAAGGCAAATAGATGAACAAAATGCTGAATGTATTGAAAATTAATAAACTCAGATGAATTCTTTTGAATGAACAAAATGCTTGGGATCATTGAGATTTTACTGAATGCCTTTACTGCAAATGAAAAATATGGACTATATAATCTGTATGAAATGAGCAGTTCTGGTATTTCACTGAAAGTGAAGGCTGGAGAAAGTGTAAAGAGCCAGATCATTCAGAATGTTCACAGAACACTTTAATTATGAGATGGAGAAAAAATAATAAAATGCTAAATGCATTAATAATATTATAGAACATGTTTGTGGATTGAATGAACAATCGAAAATTTAAAAGACCAATTTGCATTAAGTGTAGTAGTTAAAATGATAATTGTATGGAACATTGTAGAAGATGCATTGAGAATATAATACAACATTTTGCTTTAGGTGGGGTAGATGTATCAAAATTTAATACAACACTTTGCTGTTATTGATAATTACAACACTTTTGCAAAAGTGTAGTAGACAAATTTTGGCCTTAAGTGAAACAGATGCATTGAGAATCATTGTTGCTGAGTTTGTTGGGGGGGTGGGGTTCAGCGCAGGAGGTGGGTAATCAGAGAACTTCATAGTTTGTCTCTAGACATAAGGTGAAACATGTTCAAGAATTTACAGAACACGTCGTTGCAAATGAAGACAAAAGTTAACAAAAGTGGGACTTGATGGGCCACCTGTCAAAATTCTAAAAATGTTATAATATACTGGGCATATAAATATTGTAAAAATAATTGTCATGCCTGCTCAGCCCAACAGTGCTGTAAAAGTAATTTATATATTCATTATCTGTGGCTGATACAGTGTTCACAGTTGTTGACACTGCCATTGTAACATGAAAAATGCACTCATACCTCTACAAGATTGCCATTTGCAGTTAGAAGAGGGTTTTTATTGCTTTAAAGAGCTTATTTTGTTTGTTTGTGGGAACTGGAGAATGAGCACAGATGAAAAGTATCTCGATGATTGAATAGAGAATCACCAAATAGACACTTAAATGGGAAATAGGAGGACTGAAGAAACAAGGCCGCCCAAGAAAAACCCTAAAACGAACTTTGAGGAGAGAAACCAAAGGTGCTGGACTTGATTCCATCATTGATGTCCAAGTGATTGTGCAGGATAGAACAGAATGAAGGAATAGACTGCAAACCCTGTATGACATATAATGGCTCAACAGGCCTGAATGAATGAAGGAATGAAACTATGCGTTGAATGAAAACTGTTGATAGAAAGCTTGAAAATCTCTTTTGCTGCGTACAGATAGAAGCAATTTATGCATTGTTATTTATTGGGAGCTGTAATAATACGATGGCTAGCACACTTGCTGGCTGCTCTGGTTGTCCTAGGTTCAAATCCTATCAAGGTGTATTTTAAGAATGACATGGGCTTCCAGAGAAACAAACCCCAACATGTGTACTAGATCCCCATATTATTACCAGGCCCGTGGGGGGGGGGGGGGGGAGTGGAACCCTTGCCTATCCTAAAATAGCATGGGTCAGGGGGGGGGTGGGGGGGGGGGGGGAGCTCTGTTTCATGCTGTTGAATGAAGAAAGAAGAAAAAATAGGAGCTTCTGTAATTTGTTGTTTATTCCGTAACTCTTTCACTCCCATGAGCTATCTTAGTAGTTAATCACAAGGGCTCTGAAAAAAATCGCATGTATATGTCTTTCAAAGAGACTAGTTACATAGTGGAAGTGATCAATAGAGAAGCTAAATTTTCTTGACCAAATGTACAAAGCATGAGAACACAGGATGTGATGGTTGAGTTTCATGTGAGACATGCAAAGATATATCATACAGTACTTGGGACTGAAGGAGTTCATTTGACTTTGGGTAGTGAGTTTGTTTTGTGCTGATGAAGGCTTTCTAGCCACAACGCTCACTTGCTGTTTGTGATTGTGATAATGTGAAGCTGACTCATTTCATGATATCTTCTGTTCAGTCATGCTTGTGTTTGAAAGTGAAGTAGATGCTCAAGGGATACCATGTGTTCAGTTTCAGACCGCTGCTGTTGGAGTGGGTCTAGTTTATTTGCTTTTGTGTGCATGATCATCATCAGTCAGCAGAATCTGGCTCTCTTAACAGCACTCCTGAAAGTCTCTCTTTCTCTAGCCATTTTTGCACCACCACCTGTCATCATCATCAAGTGCCTTGCTGAATGATACAGGTGATTATGCTGCCTCTCCACATCCTGTGGCCTCCAACAGCCTGTACCAGTTCATGTGCTGGCACCTCTCCTTGCCATAGTAAAATTTCCATCCTATGATAGTTGCAAAAAATATTTCAGTTGGGTCTGGGAATTTATGTGCCTGAGAACGTTTATCCAACATTTTGCTGTTACCTACATTGTTATCTGGAAGTTTTAAAGTGAGACCTCCTGTGTCACATTAAGACTGAGAAAATATTTCAGCTGGGTCTGGGAATTTATGTGTCCAATAATCTGATGATATGTTTGTCCAGCAATTGCTGTTACCTATATTGTTATTTAGCAGCTGCAGAGTAAGATCTTAGGTGGCTCGTAAAGACTGAGAAAACTAGGCGTAAAAGCAGGGTAATGCCCAAGAGATACTGGTTTGTGTGTGACTTTACACTGGAAAGCTTTGTACTGAAACAAATAGTGTAATAGCATTAGTTACCTTACCCTCTGAAGTCGGAGCCTTATTTGGAGTTTCAGCACCAAGAAGATGAAGCCTTCAGGAGGGGATTCTCTTAATTTGCACACACAAAAATAATTAAAAATGAAGCGTTGAATTATGATGTAAAAAACAACATATATTCTTGTAGGAAATTGAACTAACACACTCTTTATGAATCACACTGTCATCTCAATTTAAAATTTGGCTTGGACAAGCATGACTAAATTGAATAATTTTGGTAAATTTTCGGATGTATGAAGCCCAAATAAATCCTAACACTTGTGTTTTGGGTAGCAAGGACCATGGAGGTCTTTTAGACACTTCTGGTACATGGTTCTACTTCTTTTCCTGCCTCATGATTTGGTTGCTACAGTCGCAAATCCTTTTCACCATTGTTGGGCACAGGTTACACCCAGACACACACAAATCATAAAAGCCAGCACTCAACAGCCCACATGTGCAAAAAATGCTAGAAGCAATCTAATTAGCTGTACGAAGACCAGCCAGCCAGTCTCATGTCTTGTATTTGGCTGAAATGAAAACCAGCCAGCCAATCTCAAGTCTTGTATTACTGGGCTGACAGATTGGCCTGGCCGTCTTTTTTTACCATTTTGCTGTTCTGCTGACAGATCGGCCCAGTCCTCCCCAAAAGGGTTAAGAACAGCCATGAAAACCCAGTCTCATAGAAGATAGTTTTAGCCTTGGTTTGACAAATTAAGTCATTGTGTTTGGGTCATTTACAATGAAGTTTAAAAACCCCAAGTAATTTAAGGTATATTGACACCCTGAGTGAAGAAAGTGAAACCCATATCTTGAAGCCTATTACCATCATCATGTAAAAGAGGCAGCATTATGATAATAATTTACACACTTTGTTAAGTTTTTGGCGATCAGATTTTTCATCATTTCATGTAACTTAATTTTATTCTATTTGAAATTTTAACCGATCAGATCAGCAACTGTACAAGATGAAATAATTAATAGAGAGAGATTGTTAATTAGAAAATAAAAAGTTTAGAGAGATCACTGTTCATGGATCATGGAAAAATCATTTTCCGCCCTCAGTGGAGCATAGGCCCTTAGCCAGCTTATGAGAAACTGTCTTTTGCCTTGGCTTGAAGCCCACATCATGTCCTCCACATCTCATTAACTCCACTCTCTAGTTCCCTTCTCTGTGTTTTTGTTTGTTTGGCTCTGCTTTTATTCCTTTGACCCTGTGGGTCCCAGTGCAGAGATTTTCTATTTATATTGTTCTCAGATTTTCTCAGCGTGTGTCCTATCTGTCGCCATCTTCTTTTCCAAAGCTCCACATTAGTCAGTCTGTCATAGAATTTAATTCCCTCTATATTCTTCTCAGGG